TGAACTGAGTCTGATACTAGGAGGTCAAGGATTGAATCTCAGTCTGATACTAGGAGCGCATCTAACGCATCTCTTCCTCATTAGCTAAAACTCGTTGTGTCAACTGAGAAATCTCTTGTGTATTCTAAGACTGACTTAAAGATGTCCCCACAAAGCTGCTATCCTCAATCTCATAAAGATCTCCTGTACCATAACGACGTCCCTTGTATTTTTCACCAATAGCTGCATTCCAACATTGACTCCTAAGTCTATCCTCCTCAATAGGGTCTAAAGGGGTGCGTTCTGAGGTGCCAATAGTGGATCCAACCTCAAATATAACTTGAGAAAATCTAGCTTCAAAATCTTCCTATTATCATCATAAACAGTACGTAAAAATAGTGTAAACATTAATAAAATTAAAGAAAAATAAAATAAGTAACATAATAGACTCACATGTGTCCGCCTAGATTTATAATCAACAAACTAACCAGTGTCTTTTCGTATATGAGTTTGCTGAAAGAGTTCATCATGGTGTACAGGTCAACCAAGCTCCTTTTCCTACAAATAAAAACATTATAGAAATCAAAATTTAACATATAAAATTAAGCATTAAAAAAATGAAGACTAAAATATAAACATACCATGCGAATGGCATGTCCATTCATACTAATGGAGCCACATGTGTGCATACTTCCACCCTTTTCAGATGCTCTATTTTTGTATGCTTGTGTACACTTTGTACGACATGTAGGTTCATTCCAATATTCTAATAAAGATTTCCACACACGATCTCCAATCCAATCTGGTTTCTCATTTTTCTTCCGGGCATCCATAAACATCTCAGAAAGTCTATGAGAAGCTTTTGCATTGAAATTTTTTTGATATTACTTTCATGCTCAGGACTTCATTTCACCATCCTCTATTAACAACCATATATATTAATTAATAACCAAAGAAACATCTCAAAAAGTCTATGAGAACAAGCAAGTATTTAACAATAATATATATATTTAATGACCAAATCAATCTATGAAAAATACGCTTATATGGGTTTAATACAATTCAATACCATATAATTCAATACAAATCAATCAGTCATTGCAACAATCCAATACAATTAATCAACGAACTCCTATAGAATTTATAACAGCTTACTTTTGTAAAAAAAAAACTAGAAGACAACATGTAAATCATGTAACTACTAACACCCAACACCACTTTAAATCATGGTTTTTATCATTTATCATACTAGGCCCACTATATTTCCTTCACATGTAAACTCTTGTTTTCTTTTCTAACATACTCCCCATAGTTAACAGGTTCTCAAAAAATATTGATGAAGCATTTTTATTGATTAACACTATTAATTACACAAAACTAAACTGGAATAAAATTGAGAATGAAGAAGTATTTACTATACAAATTTATTAATATACAAAGGAAATAAATCAGAATAGCTATGTTAGTCATATAATAACACTTTATTACTATATATATTTACAGAAATATAAACATATTAGATATGATATAAATATATTAGAAAAACAAAAATATATAATTAGAAATATATGATATAAATGTAAATTTTAGTGACTAAAATATGTAAAATTATATTTTTAGTAATTATCATCTATTTTAAATTAAATTTCTTATGATAATATTTATCTTTATTAAATTATCTATTAATAAACTAACAATGTATATAACTTCTTTTTTTTTATATGTAATAGTAATACATATACTATCCACCACCGATAGCAGTGACTAATCTCCTCGCTACGTTGGAGGCACCTCAAAAGGTGGGATAACTGGCCCCAAGATTTAACGCGGTTGCATACACAAGGCAGGATTCAAATCCCTGACCTTGCTTAAGCGTGGATCAACCCCTACCGTTGAACTACACGCTTGGGGTTAATAATACCCTAGATTTAAATAGATATATAAGTGTATATTTCATAAATCTTTAATTTACCTTAAAATGTTGAAAGAAAATATCTTTATCAGCCTGGGGAATTTCTCCCCATGTGACCCAGGGTGAATGATATTGCTGCTTAATGCATGGTCTGTGTGATAGCACTTGATGCAGTCTTTGATGGGAGAAACCTAAACAAAATAAAGACATAATATTTTAAACCTTAATAAACTTAAATTTACTTATAATTAAAAAATTATGTAAATGCTAATTTATTCTTACCCATTATGAGTAGGTTTAATTAAAGGATGATCATCAAGTGGCGGGTCCTCCTCATTTAAGTCTTCATTATCAGGTGGTGGATTAACATTAGGTGTTCCTATAGCATCTGGGGATGGAGATGGTGTAGAACGAATAGCTATGGATGAGGATGACATAGAACCAATAACTAGGGATGGAGATGGTCTGGATGCCACAACTGGGGATGGGGATTGCGTGGATGCTACAACTGGGGATGGGATAGATGATGTTAAGTTGTCTATGTGATAATACTTTAATCTCATATTGCTTCTTCCCCTTCATTACCTACTTCCCCTTATTCTCGCTAGGCGACGGTGGAAGGGGAGGGTCACAACCTCCTGATGACATATCTATTCATTGAAAATAAAGTTACAAAATAATACCCAAAATGAAACTATAATATAAAAATAGACAACAAATCAAATTTATAATACTAGTTGCATAATTATGATTATACACTTTGATATCAAAATCATACACTTCAAATCCAATTTTTCTAATCCTATTCCGAAAGTCTTCAAACTCATCTTCAAAATCATCATCAAGTTCATTTTATTCATTATTTTTTGCCAAATCATTTTCTTCATTGATTTGCTCATTGACTTCTTCAAGATCAACTTCTAAATCTTGTAATCCCGTAATTCCTTCAACTTCAATGACTTCATTGGCATGTAACATTTCATCTACTAGATAAGGTACATCATCTTCTATATCATTATATTCTATTCTACCCCTTGGCTTTGTTTTGATTGCAACACACCAACCACATTTGTCCCTTCGCGATGTAGGATCACTACTACAAGACATGCTATTTACATCGGTTCTTTAACATCATCTACATCGGTTCTAAAACCGATGTAGAAGAAAGTGACGTAGTAAATATATACAATTTTATATCAATTTTAAAACCGATGTAGAATAATCATAAATCTACATCGGTTCTTATTATAACCGATGTAAATCTATATGCAATTCTACATCAGTTTATTGCATAACCGATGTAAATACATTCTCTCCAGTCATAGGACCGACATTACCAGTAAGCATACCATACAATTCAAAAGCCATCTACAAGAGCCATTATGAAAAGAACAACTACTTTATTGGACAACCTAACACACATTATGAGTGATGTAATGTAACACACATTATGTTGCCATCTTAAGGAGTTGTATCAAGTATTGATATCACATCCATCACATCCATCGTCAGCTGAAATAAAACCAAGTCATTTCTAACTATATGATATCTAATTTGCAACATGTGCGATTGCAGTGTAATTGCAATGTTCATATGTTTATACCCCAACATACTACCATAAAATTAATAAATAAATAAATAAAAAAGAAAGAGAGGAGCCGTCCAAAATGATAGTTCACTCAAAAGCAACATTGTTTTACACAAAAGCCATGAAATAACCACATACCTCGGTATCACTTTGAGTACCCAAGTCTCCTGGCCGTTTTATATAACCTGGATCTTTACTGCATCGGATTGAAATAGCATCAATAAAGTAGCGTAGATTGAAAGTTTAGAATTAAACTCGAAGATTTTTTTGATATTTCAGGACAGATTGTCAAGTTTTAGTCCTAATTATAAGTCCTAACTCTTGGATCCAACTTGAGTTCCTAAAGAATTTTATTTGAGCATTCACATCATAACAACAGGCATGCATCAGTAGAAGGTATTCATTCAAAGCATATAATATCACACAAATACAAGGAAAGTACATATATGTATATTACCATATCACACAGAAAAATAGAAAGAATACATGACAAAGGAGATTACCTACTACACCTATAGAACAATAAGGGCACCAAATACCAGAGAAAGTGTTGTCCACGACCAAAGTCCAACAATGGCAATAATCTTTTTAAGGTTAGGAGCTGGAATTAGTGAAAATATTCAGTCAAGGTTCATCACAGAAAAGGATAGCAAACTGGCATACAATTTTTAAAATACCTGCAACAACACAGTTGACAAAGAGGATTGTGAGAAAGATTATAATACACAATAAGATGGGAGCATAACCAATATCTGTCACCATCCCACAACAAAGTTTCCCTCTCCAGTAGTTGTTATGAGCCCGTTGTTGATTTGAATGCAAAAATATAACACTATAACTTAACTAAAGGAGCCTTTATCTCCGTCTCGAACCAGCCTTCCTTGAACAACTTAACACACACATCACTCATCTGAAACGGTTCAAAATGCACATCGGCGGCCATGTCCTCATTGACCTCAAGCTTGACCACTGCAGTAACCCACTCCTAAAAGCCACTCTCAACATGATACTCGGCAACCTGAAGCTAATGGTCTGCGTGAAAATGAAGCCAACTTTTCGCATCCCTAAGCCGACGACAATAGCATCGACGAGCTTCTCCTCGTCGGATGTCCTCGGAGCCCTGCTGGGGAGGCTCATAGATGAAGTCGACCTCGACCTTGCCGTCGTCGGAGACGGTGCCGCACATGAAGCCGTCGCGCTTGATGGCGAAGGCGAGGGTGTCGTTGACGTAGTGCTGGAAGGCGTTGGCGCAGTCGCGGTCGAAGGAGACGAGTTGGCAGTGGGGATTCTCCTGGTGCGTGACGCACATCTGCTTGGCGATGAGGTCTTCCATGGCCGAAGAAGCCGGCGGGGTTGAAGGCGGGGCCAGGGATGCGGCGCTTGCCATCGTAGACGAGGAAGAGGATGGAGCCGTGGGCGAGGGGG